GTCTGGTGAATGGGAAATTTTGCCCAAGATCAGGGGTATACTTGAAAATGAGGAATGTAGGGAGATTTCCATATTTACATACATTTTATTTAAAGGAAAGATCAGGTAAATTCTGGAGTGGAAATAAGCAACATACGATTTGCAGAAAACTCTGATCACAGCACTGTCAGCTAAAGAGGGTCTTTAGCTGAGGTACTGGCTGGTGTAAAACCATCCAAGGCACTGGCTCTGCTCCTAAAGACACCCCACTTTGCCCACCCTCAGTTTCCTGGTACGCTCTGTGAGATACTTCATGATTCTGTTTCTATTAATGGGTACACAATTTTGTAGCAATAAACAGGCAGTCCTACTCTTCCACCATCACAATACTCATGTATATTGTTTTAAAGCTGTTGGTGACACTTGGTTGAAAACATTTTTCTATGTTCATTGTATAGGCTGCTTCTGAGTTATTTTTCTCTTTTGAAGGGGTGGGAGTTTGAGGAGTCTCTTTCTTAAAGGTAACCAATTTCAGCTCTTCTGTTGTTTAAAATTGAAATGGTGTAGCCATTGGCCATGGATTAAGGGGTGTGTGGTTTGGTTCCATTCTGAAAGAGAATTGCTAGATGTATTGAGAGGCATGTAGCAGATGGCTAAGAGTGCAGGCCGTGTGGCTGGGCTGACGGGGCTCAGTTCTTGCTTTTCTCCACTTATTTGGCTGCGCCACTATGGGTAAGTCACCTAACTCTGAACTTCGTTTCATTGCCAAAATATGAAAATCTCAAATACAATAATTAGGAGAATTAGTGACTTAATACACAAAAAGTGCTCAGAGAAGTGCCTGACAGGTAGTAAATGCTACACAAATTGTTGCTATTAGGAGAACTAAATTGAATGGCTTTTCTATTCAAGTAAAGAAAAAACTGTGAAATGCTTCATTCTAATTAGGAGGGGGAAGAGGTATGATTCTCCAACACGTGGTTTCTGTGGCTAAAACTCAAGTTTTACTGTGATAAATATGCAGTTTTATATTTAGTGTGTGGCTAGCAGTTATTGAGCACCCACTATGTAAACTGTGCTAAGCAGCTTACACATTTTATATAATCTTCACAAAAGCCTTGTGAAGTAGATACTGTTATCCTCATTGTACAGATGAGAAAACTAAGGTTAAGTAAAAGTAAACTTCTAAAGGTCCAAGAGTTAGTATATGATGTAATGCTTCAAAGTTTTTGCCTTTAACCACTGTTCTATAATGCCCCCCAATGTGCCTGCAACTCTCATAATATAATTTGTTGTATAGTAATAAGATGATAATTCTGCTCTCTTCACCAGAACTTACTAAGGCAAATGGAGCATGCTTCATTCATTCCCCACCCGCTGGGTTGCTGGCAGCAGGCCATATTTTAATCAGATGAGGAAACCTCGGGGCCTTAAGGAGGTTTTCTCCTCCTAAATGGCTCAGTGTTATCCAGACCTAGTAGGAAGAGTTTTAGTACCTCCCTCTCCCCTGAAAAAAAAGTGAATACCAGTAACTCTGTTTCTTATATGAGGCCCTGACTGTGGAATCATAGCTGCAAGTAGTCAGTGATGTTGGGGGTAAAGCAGCCTGGCAGAGAGGAGCATCGGGTTGGCCTCCTGGTCTTTCCTGTTCATTCCTGGTTGTTCCTGGTTTATCATTGTGTTTGCTCTGAGAGGCAGCATCTCCACCAAGCAAAATGCCCACTGTGGTGCTTTCCAGCGAGCAAAGAAAACAGCTCATCTCCACTGCCTGCTGGCATTGGATTTCCGTAATTGCTCTATGTTCTCATTTGATTCTCAGTTAGCTTGCCTCTTATTATATACGACTTGCAAGACACTTCTGGTACATACTCTCACCCAGGAGTCTGACTTTGAAACTTCAAATTAGATGATACAGCAGACGGAAGTAGGACATTTCCATATCCTTTTGGCAATTGGCAGCATTTGTTGTTCTGTCCTCTGCGTGTGGTAAGATACAGCTATGTCTGATACCTCCTGTGAGTGACAGCGCCAACCTGTTCAGAGCTTTCACATCTCCAAACTCCTGCAGGAGTCACAGTCTGGGACACAGTGGCTTTCAGTGGCTTGTTTTCTAGCTGTTTCATATGTGAAGAGTCAGGGGGCACCAGTGCATATCCTAGAGAATCTGCCTCAGGGTTGGGCAATAGTGAGCTTAGTAAAGAATGGAATGGAGAGGAAAAAAGGAGGAAAGGCGTTATACCTGCCTTAGTTCCCAAATCAGAGTGTTGGCTTCTCAGCCCAGAGATGGAATCTGTTTTCCCTTCTCCTCTAATGCTTATAGAACATTAGGCAAACAGTGACTTTGCAGTGTATACTTATTGCCTGAAGGCCTAGGTTTTATTTGAATTAATAGATTACGCCCAAAAAATTGCCATCTCCATTCACTTGAGCATATTGCAACCAGAAGGAAGTTTTCTGTAAATGTTATTGAAATGCTATTTACATTGATGAAAGGTGTCTCTAAATTGGTTTTAGACTGGTCACTTGTGGAACTGTAGTCCTCATTGCAGAGGATGAACCTCCACTCTCGTGGTAGACAGCAGAAGTGAAGGTATTTGTAAAGCACAGATGTCATTCTGAGGAAAGTACTAAAACTGAAATCTGTAAATGACTAAAATGCTGCATAAAATGAATAAAAGGCTCATTCTGAAAAAGATGAATAGCATTTGGCCCCAAGAAGGAGTCAGCGGCCCAGTGACAGGGATTGGGAGGTACACACTGCAGCACATTGTACCTCTGTCAAAACTCAGAGTTGTGGCTTTGTAAATGCTTCAACTGAATTGTGTTTTCATGGTTATACCCTGCTGAGAGCAGGTACTGATAATCACTTTAAGAGACCTGGGTTGCGTGGTCTGTCTCACTCCCCACTTGTCCCTCCCAATTTATCCATCATGGGGAAATAAAGCCTCAAAACCTCTGACTTGAAACACCTGTGGGGGTTAAGGCAGCAAGAGAAACTCCCAGCCTCACAAAAAATTTCACTGGAGAAACCCATAGGTCCTACAATGTACACAAACCCACGCACCCTGGAATCAGCACCAGAAGGACCCAATTTGCTTGTGGGTAGTGGGGGAAGTGATTAAAAGCCTGTAAAGAGCTGACATTGTGGGAAGAGCTGACAAGTGGCATTGTTCCCCCTCGGACCCCTCCCCCACAGACAGGGCCACAATGCAGTGGCCCTGAAGAATACCTAAGGCTCCACCCCTTATGATGTAATAGCTATGCTGAGACAAAAAATATGGCCCAAATGAAAGAACAGATCAAAGCTCCAAAAGTAGAACAAAGCAATGAAGAGATAGCCAACCTATCAGATGCAGAGTTCCAAAACTGGTAATCAGAATGCTCACAGAAATGGTTGAGTATGGTTGCAAAACAGAGGAAAAAGTGAAGACTATGCACAGTGAAATGAAGAGAAATGTACATGGAACCAACAGTGAAAACCAGGACTCAAACCAATGATTTGGAGCAGAACGAAGAAATAAACATTCAACCAGGACAGAATGAAAAAAACAAGAATTCAGAAAAATGTGGAGAGGCTTAGGAACCTCTGGGACAACTTTAAACATTCCAATATCCGAATTATATGGGTTCCAGAAAGAAAAGAGGAAGAGCAAGAAATTGAAAATGTATTTGAAAAAATAATGGAGAACTTCCCTGATCTGGCGAAGGAAATAGAGAAGTCCAAGAAGCTCAGAGGGTCCCAAAGAAGTTGGACCCAAGGGAGCACACACCAAGGCACATCATAATTACATTACCCAAGATGAATGATAAGGAGAGAATCTTAAAAGCAGCAAGAGAAAAGAGAGCTGTCTACAAAGGAGTTCCCATAAGAATATCAGCTGATTTCTCAAAAAGAACCTTGCAGGCAAAAAGGGACTGGAAAGAAGTATTCAAAGTCATAAAAGGCAAGAACCTACATCCAAGATTACTCTATCCAGCAAACCTATCATTTAGAAGGGAAGGGCAGATAAAGTGCTTCTCAGATAAGGTTAAGTTGAAGGAGTTCATCATCACCAAGCTTTTATTATATGAAATGTTAAAGGGACTTATCTAATAAAATAAGATGTTCAAAAATATGAATAGTAAGATGACAACAAACTCACAACTATCAACAACTCAACCCAAAAACAAAATTAAAAACAAACTAAGCTAACAAGAATAGGAACAGCATCACAGAAATGGAGATCACCTGGAGGGTTATCGGAGAGGAGGGGGGAATGGAAGAATGGGTACAGGAAATAAGCATAATTGGTAGGTACAAAATAGGGGGAGGTTAAGAATAGTATGGGAAACAGAGAAGCCAAAGAACTTATATGTATGACCCATGGATGTGAACTAAGGAGCAGGAAATGCGGGTGGAAGGGGGCATGCAGGGTGAAGGGGGATAAAAAGAGGGAAAAAATGAGACAACTGTAATAGCATAATCAATAAAATATATTTAAAAAGAAAATGTGTTGGGAAGGTTTAGATTACACTGCAGGCTACTACTCACTACTAGCGGCATTCAGCTATTTAACTTTAATTAACTAAAAGTAAATAAAACATTCAGCTTCTCTATCATTGCAAGTGTTCAGTAGCCACATGTGGATAGTGGCTACCTACTGAACAGCACAGCATGGAGAGAGAACTTTCCATCATCACAGAAAGTTCTTGAATAGTGACTCAATCAAAGGGAAAACAATGCCATGTTTGTTTAGCTTCTCTGTGATTTTTTTCTTAACCTTAGAATCAGTGTTTTTCTATTTAAGTGGAAATATATGTGGTGCCTAGAAAGTTAGCATGTGGCCTGTTGCATATGGAAATATTTACATGGATGATTTTTACCTGTGACAGGAAAGACTTAGGTAAATCACAAGCATCCTTAACCTCATTAATATATACATTGCAAATGTAAAAATGCAAAGTGGAGAAGTCATAAATGTGAAAGTGGCTTTCAGTTTTATAGGTGTTTTAATAGGTGTTTTCTGTGTCTTGTAACCTAGGGATCTTGCTGCAAGAAACTGCCTGGTAGGTGAAAATAATGTTCTGAAAATCAGTGACTTCGGAATGTCTCGTCAAGAGGACGGTGGAGTGTATTCATCTTCTGGCTTAAAGCAGATTCCCATTAAATGGACAGCACCAGAAGCTCTTAACTATGGTAAGATTGGACACTCTCTTTTTGGTGGTAAAAAACTCCATCAGAATAAAACATTCATGAGCAAAATTAGGGGGTATGACAGAGTCCAAGTTACAATGATATATAAATGTTCATACTCTACACTTAAACATGAGCATCAACTTAGCTCCTTGACTTTATTGACCACATTTCTTTATGCAAGGTTGCTAGATTTCTAATATTGATACACTCACAAGGATTTTGAAATCTGGGGGTTCCTTTTTATCTGAAAAATGATTTCTTTCACATTTAAAAAAAATTGTATTTATTAGGGTGACATTGGTTAATAAGATTGTATAAGTTTCACCTGTACAGTTCTATCACCCATCATCTGTACACTGCATTGTGTTTACCACACCAAGTCAAGTCTCCTTTCAACACCATACAACTCTCTTCATCCTTCCTCCATCCTGTTACTGCTGTGATAATCACCACACTATAGTCTGTGTCTATGAGTTTGTTCATTTTATTTCTTCACTTGTTACTTTCTGTTTTATATCACATGTGAGTGAATAAAACAGTTCATGTGGTTCTTGTCTTTTTCCATCTGACTTACTTTCCTTAGCATGATTCTCTCAAGATCCATCCATATTGTCACAAAGACTTTTATGGCCAGTAGTATTCCATTTTGTATATATGTAAACATCTTCTTAATCATACATCAAGGGACACTTAGGTTGTTTACATGTCTGAGCTGCTGTGAATAATGCTACAGTGAACACAGGGGCACATATGTCTTTCTGAATGAATGTTTTTAAATTTGGGAGGTACAACCCATAGGAGGGATTTCTGGGTCATAGGGTAGCTCTATTGATTTTTGAGAAAACTTTATACTATTTCCACAGAGACTGTACCAGTTTACATTCCCACCAGCAAAGTACAAGGGTTCCTTCTTTCTACATCCTTGCAAAACTTGTTATTTCTTGTCTTACAGATAATATCCATTCTAACAAGTGTGAGGTGGTATCTCATTGTGGGTTTGATTTGCATTTCCCGATAGCTAGTAAAATCAAGCATCTTTTTATATATCTGTGGGCTATTTGTATATCTTCTTCGGAAAAGTGTCTTCAGGTCCTCTGCCCATTTAATTAATTGAATTATTTGGGGTTTTGTTCTTGAGTTGTATGAGTTCTTTATATATTTTGGATATTAGCCCCTTATTAGAGGTATCATTTGCAAGTATCTACTCCTATTTAGTTAGTTGCCTTTTAATTTTGTTAATCATTTCTTTAGCTTGGCAGACAATTTTTAGTTTGATGTAGTCACATTCACTTATTTTTGTTTTTATTTCCCTTAACTTTGGGGTCAGAATACACAAATCACTCTGAGACCAAGGTTCATAAGTTAAGTGCATATGTTTTCTTTTATGCATTTTATTTTTTTAGGTCTTATATATATGTATATGCTTTTCATTCATTTTGAGTCAATTTTTTATGCATGGCATCAGATAGCAGTCTGGTTTCATTCTTTTGCATGTGGCTTTCCAATTTTCCCAAAATATTTATGGAAGAGGCTTTTCTTTCCGTATTGTATGTATTTAGCTCCTTTGTTGTAAATTAGTTGCCCATTTATATGTCGGCTTTTTTTCTTGGCTTTCAATTCTACTCCTGATTGCTGTGTCTATTTTTCTGTCAATACCATACTGTTTTGATTATTGGAGCCTTATAGTGTAGTTTGTAAGTCAGGGAGTGAGATACCTTTGGCATTGTTTTTTCTTGGGATTACTTTAGCTATTCTGGGTCTTCTGTGGTTCCATCCAACTTTTGATGATTTTTTTTTTGTTCTATTTCTTTAAAACATGCCATTGGGATTTCAATGGGGATCACATTGAATCTGTATATAACTTTAGATAATACAGCTGTTTTAACTATGTTGAGTTTTCCAGTTTATGAACACAGTATACCTTTCCATTTTTTGTATATTTTCTTCAATTTCTATCAACCGTGTCACATAGTGTTTAGTGTATAAGTCCTTCACTTCCTTTATTAAGTTTATTTCTTTGTATTTTATCCTTTTCATTGCAATTGGGATTGTTTTCTTCATTTCTTTTTCTGATATTTCATTGTTAGTATGTAGGAACACAATGAATTTTTGTACATTGATTTTGTACTTCCTTACTCATTTGTTAGTTTCTTTTTAAATTATATTTTATTGATGCTATTACAGCTGTCCTGATTTTCCCCCTCTGTACCCCTCCAGCCAGCAAACTCACTCCCTCAGGCAGTTCCCCCACCATTGTTCATGTCCATGAGTCATGCATGTAAGTTCTTTAGTTACTCCCTTTCCTATACTGTACTTTACATCCCTATGGCTATTTTATGGACTACCTATTAGTAATTCTTAATACCCTCACTTCTTCACCCATTCTCTCACACCCCTTTCCCATCTGGCAACCATCTCAAAACACCTACTGTATCCTTGATTCTTTTTGTTCTTGTTTGCTTAGTTTTTTAGATTCAAGTTGTTGACAAGTATGTATTTATCACCATTTTATTATTTATTGTTCTTTTTCTTAAATAAATCCCCTTAACACTTTATATAATAATAGCTTAGTGATGATAAATTCCTTTATTTTTTTCTTGTTGGGAAGCTCTTTATCTGCCCTTCAATTCTAAATGACATCTTTGCTGGGTAGAGCAATCCTGGCTGTAGGTCCCTGCTTTTCATGACTTTGAATATTTCTTGCCAATCCCTTCTAGCCTGCAAAGTTTCTTTTGAGAAATCCACTGATAGTCTTACTGGCACTCCCTGTAAGTAACTTTTTTTTCTTGCTGCTTTTAAGATTCTCTCTTTATCTTTAACCTTTGGCATTTTAATTACAATGTCTTGGAGTGGGCCTCTTTGCATTCATCTTGTTTGAGACTCTGTGGTTCCTAAACATATATGTCTATTCACCAAATTAGGGAAGTTTTCTTTCATTATTTTTTCAAATAGCTTTCTAATTTCTTGCTCTTTCTCTTCTCCATCTGACACCCCTATGAATGTTGGATTGCTTGAAGTTGTCCCAGAAGCTGCTTAAATTATCCTCGAATTTTGGGATTCTTCTGTTTTCTGCTTGTTCTGATTGGTTGTTTTTCTTTGCTTCCTTATGTTCCAAATCATTGATTTCATTCTGGGTTTCATCTACTCTACTGTTGTCTCTCTATAAATTGTTTTTTATTTCAAGTAGTGTATCCTTCTCTTCTGACTGGATCGTTTTTATGCTGTTGAGGTCTCCACTGAGTTCCTTCAGCATCCTTGTAACCAATATTTTCAGCTCTGCAATGGATGGATTGCTTATCTCTATTTTGTTTAGCTCTTTCTGGAGTTTTGATCTGTTCTTTCATTTAGGTCATGTTTCTTTGTCTCCTCTTTTTGGCAGTCTACCTGTGTTTGTTTCTATGTATTAGGTAGAGCTGCTTTGACTCCATGTCTTGGTACTATGGCCTAATGTACCAGGTGTCCTGTAGGGTCCAGTGGCACAGCCTCCCCCTGTGCTCTTTGTCTGGGCTGAGTACACCCTCCTCTTGTAGTTGAGCCTTTATTGCTGTTGGTGGATCAGTGGGAGGGATTTACTGAGGCCAGTCAGCTGAAAAGATTGGCTGTGAATACTTACCACCAAACTCCACCCTCCTTGGAGAATCAGCTGTGCAGAGTCAGAGCAGTGATGCTCTGATGTGGTCTGTAACTGTCCACTCGGTGCACTGGCCCTGGGTTTCTTGGGTGGTACAGGCCAAGGTCAGTCCCACCTATGTTTTGCCTGAGGCCACCCTACCTGAGCTATAAAGCAATCTGAGATGGCCGATACTTGTGCTGGACTTCGAGATTCCCAGGTGAGCCAAGCTGTGAATCTGAGCTGGCTGCTGCTAGCGAAATGCAGGGGTGGGGTGTGGGGGGTACAGAGAGGGCACTTCCTGAGGCCAGTTGTTTGCGTGAGAGGATTTAGGAAGTTGTGTAGTATGAGCTAAGACCAGCTATTCATATGGAAAAGCAATTTGGGTGGGGCAGAGTCTCTGGGAATCTCCTAGGTGGGTCAAACAGTATTAGCTAAGTGGATGGAGTCTCAGATATGGCACCAGCTTACCAGCTCTGTGGGGGGAGTGTTTAGAAAAGGGACAAAGGCCTCTGCCTTGATGTCAGACACTTCAGGTCCTTCCTGTATGCTGCTGTTTCCTTTCAAGCTGCTACCCCAGTGCTGGAGCTCACAGGGAGTCTGAAAAGGTTAACCTTGTTTGAGTTCTTTAAGAACAACTTCTTAGGGCTCCAGAAGTTTCTTCTACTGACTCATTCCCTGCTGGTTTTTACAACCAGAAGTTGTGGGGAATTATCTTCCTAGCACTGGAACCCTGGGTTGGGGGAGTGCCTGGTATGGGTCTGGGACTCCTTGCCCCCAAGATATCCCTCCCAAATTTTTATCCACCATACATCAGTGTGGGACCAGCCCCTTTCAGGTCTGCACCCCTCCTAAATGTCTGGATTGATGTGGTTTCTTTAATTCTGTAGCTGTCAGACTTCCATTCAACTTGATTTCTGTCAGTTCTGAGTGATGGTAGTTCTATATTTCAGTTGTAATTTTGACGTGGTTTTGCAAAGAGGCCAGCCATGTCTGCCATCTTGACCAGAAGTCCTGTTTATTGTTTCTGATAATCTTGTGGTGAAATTGTTAAGGTTTTCTATGTATAGAATCATGTCATCTGAAAAACTGTGACAGTTTTACTTCTTCCCAATTTGGATGCCGTTATTTTTTTCTCTTGCTTGATTGTGGTTGCTCAGCCCTCCGGTACTATGTTGAATAACTGTGGTGAGATTGGGAAGCATTGTCTTATTCCTGATCCTAGCTTAAGAGCTCTTAGTTTTTCATCATTGAGTATATTAGCTGAGGGTTTGTCATATGTGGCCTGTATTATGTTGAGGTAATTCCCTTCTATACCCACTTTGTATGTTTTATTCATAAATGGATATTATTTATATCTTGTCAAATATTTTGGCATCTATTGATATGG